AACAGGGCGCCTATGTATGGTTCATATACCTTAATGGGGGGTATCGCCGTCACATTCGTAATATGACTCCCACCTTTTCTAGGGTTCATGTCGACTCCAAGTTGTCGCCCTGACTCCCTCCCAACTCGCCTGCGATCCAAGCATCGACGCGCCTGGGCACCATGGGCAGAAACAAAGGGGTTTAGGGTTTAGGGGGTTTATAGGGTTTATAGGGTTTATAGGGTTTATAGGGTTTATAGGGTTTATAGGGTTTATCGGGTTTATAGGGTTTATAGGGTTTATAGGGTTTAGGGTTTGGGGGGCCGCCGAGCCCTAATATAGGGGCCCTAAGAATTAGACAGGGTTTTGGGGCTATTCTAGCATAATGGTTTGGGACCATAAGGGAATGTATCTCGACCCCTACACCAAAAGATCAGAAAAAGAGCCCAAAGCTCACTGTAACGGAGTGAGGTGAGTGCCGCACTGTCGTATGCTTGGCTGAGGGACCCCTCCAACATTGACACCTCGCAGGTCACATCGGGTAAACTAGGTTGATGAAGGTTTTAGGGTTTAGGGTTTAGGGCAAGGGAATGGGGGGATCCGATAATTCTGGTGGCCCTGCAGGGGATTCTGTTCTTCTGTCTAAGGCGTTGGCTATCTGATGCCGTCGAAGTGCTTCTTCGGCTCCTTCCACATAGCTCTGTGTGCCATGATGCGCGACCCCCCTGCACCCTAAATCCTAAACCCTAACCCTAAGCCCTGAACCCTGAACCCTAAACCCTAAACCCTACACCCTAAGGAATTCTTTGCTGCCCCCCTTTTGGAAGTCGCCTGCCGCCACACCTTGGAGAGCAGCCAGCTGCAGGGTCTGTGCCTGGCTATTTTCAGCACGCAGCGAAACTACGAATCGACTTGGAGGGCTTTTAGGGTACTTAGAAGTAGGGTTTAGGGTTTAGGGTTTAGGGTTTGGGGTTTAGGGATATACTCCTTTCCCCCTAATATTAAACGGGGGGGCTCCCCCCCCCTTTAGAAACTCGAAACCTGTTTTTATAATTAGGGGTATTGTTATCGAAATGTCATAATTCATTAGACTTCAGGGTTACTCAAGTAATCAACTCAAGTATGTGTTGTAAACTGAAAGAGAGAAAGAGAAAGATAGAGAGAGAGAGAGAGAAAGAAAGAGAGAGAGAGAGAGAGACAGAGAGAGGGGGAGAGCTCAACTCTCGCAGCACAGCAAGGCTCAGACAGAGCCACTGAGACACACACACTCAGTCACTCTGTCACTTCCTCGCACAGACAGCCGTGCAGAGCGGTGCGGAGTTTACCGGGAGGCCTTTCTGCAGAAAGCCAGGCAGTCAGGACCACCCTTTAGCTGGGTGACCATGTGCCTCCGTTAGAGTCTTGCCTGCCTCTAAGCCTGTTGAAAACCTTTCTACAACCCTTAATTAAGAGCCGTTCTAGACCCTTAACCCTTCGCCATAAACCCTGAACCAAGACAGACAGGCAGGCAAGATCTGACAGATTGTATGAGTAGTGAGGCAGGCTATGGACAGCCAGTCTCACAGACAGCTGTAGTGAGGTAGGCTGTGGAAAGCCAGGCTCACAGGCAGCTGACAGACAGCTTCGTGCTGCCAAAAGACGGGCCTCTAATTAAACCCTAAACCCTTAACCTTAAGCCCTAATCCCTTAACCCTAGACCCCAACCCTAAACCCTCTGAGGATTTTATTGGTGTTGAAGGATTTCTTGGAGGCCTGAACCCCCCCCCCCCCCCCTAAGTCGAAATAGGGTTTAAAAGGCGGGCTCGGTTTCGGGAGGATTTTCCGGAATGTGTTTTTTTTACTATTAGTGTGGCATTTAATAAAAGGGGGAAGCGATTAAGTAAAGGGTAGCCATGCTGACAACCTTGTTTAGGGCACTTAAACCCCTACTTACAAGTAACCATGAACCTCCAAATAAGTATTCCCAGCCCCTGCTGGCTTAGGGCTCAGTCCGGCCCCGCTAGTCGCTGCAGCGACACTACCAGCAGAGAGCCGTGTGCCCCAAATAAGGGTTTATAAGGGTTTAGGGTTTAGGGTTTAGGGTTCAGGGTTCAGGGTTCAGGGTTTAGGGTTTAGGGTTTAGGGTTTAGGGTTTAGGGTTTAGGGTTTAGGGTTTAGGGGGGGGGAAAGCGTGGGTACAACCCTCAGAAACCCTAAACGCTCAACTTGAAACCCTAAGCTTCAAACCCGAAACCCCTCAAGTTTACACCTTCAAACCCTAAACCCCAAACTGTAAACCCCTAAAGCTTAAACCTGAACTCTAAACTTGTTAACCCTAAACTAAAAACCTTAAGCCCTAAACCCTAAACCCTAGCCCTAAACCCTAAACCCCAAAAGCCCTCCAAATGCTGCGGCACCTCCGAAGCCGACGCCGCCAAGGCCCGGCCAAGGAGATCAGGATCTGCCGGGCCTCTGGCGTTTCTTGCGTTGTTCTGTTTAGGGTTTAGGGTTTAGGGTTTAGGGCTTAGGGTTTAGGGCTTAGGGCTTAGGGCTTGGGTCTTAGGGCTTAGGGCTTAGGGTTTAGGGTTAGGGGTTTAGGGTTAAAGGTTTAGGGTTTTTAGGGTTTTAGGGGTTTAGGGTTTAGGGGTTTAGGGGTTTAGGGTTTGAGGGCTTCCGAAATTAGGGCGATACCCTTTTGGGGGTCCCGTTAAGAGGATTCTGGTCTATTTTGCGCTATAAATGGGGTGCCCCCTATTTTGGGAAATGCCCAGACTTTCAGTTCTTGTGTCCAGTCATGCTTGATTCACTGAATGGATCATGGCTTGGGGTGTAGGGTTTTGGGTTTGAGGTTTCGGGTTTAGGGTCTAGGGTGCTCTTTAAAGCTCTTATTCTTACGTCTACCTCGAATCCACTGAGAGGACGCAGGGGTGCAGTTCTACTTGGGGTTACAAGTAGCCCTGAAACCCTAAAGCCCTAAAGCCCTGAAACCCTGAAACCCTAAAAGCCTAAAAGCCTAAAACCCTAAAACCCTAAAACCCTAAAACTCTAAAACCTCAAAAACCTGAAACCCTAAACCCTAAACCCTAAACCCTAAACCCTAAGTCCCCAACCGGCAGCAGGCGCCACTCCCGCACGGTAGCTGTCGAGGAGGCACCGTGCGACCAGTCCGCGGAGGCGCTGGGATGGCCGGCGGCTTCGGGTTTAGGGTTTAGGGTTTAGGGTTTAGGGTTTAGGGTTTAGGGTTTAGGGTTTAGGGTTTAGGGTTTAGGGTTTAGGGTTTAGGGTTTAGGGCTTAGGGCTTAGGGCTTAGGGTTTATAGGGTTTATAGAGTTTATAGGGTTTGTAGGGTTTATAGGGTTTATAGGGGTTTATAGGGTTTAGGGTCTGTAGACTTTAGGGTTCAGGGTTTGGGGCTTTGGGCTACATCCTGTCCCGTCCCCAAGCACTACTCTGAAGCATAAGCGAGCGGATACAAAAATCTATGGCATACACAAGTGGGGGTCTTGTTCGCTGTTGGGTTTCCACCACTAGTCAGGGGTGGGTTCAGTGGCAGTGTTTGACTGGTGCAACACATCCGACGACAAATTCCTCAACCCTAAACAATAAACCCTAAACCCTAAACCCTAAACCCTATCCCTAAACCCTAAACCCCAATCCCTAAATCCTAACCCAAAAAATCTCGGAATGCGATCTCCGCCTGGGGTGCAGAATGGTCTGCTAGCTTCGACACGAGCAAGTCATGAAGTCCTCCAGACTAGGGTTTAGGGTTTAGGGTTTAGGGTTTAGGGTTTAGGGTTTAGGGTTTAGGGTTTAGGGTTTAGGGTTTAGGGGTTTAGGGTTGAGGGTTTAGGGTTTAGGGTCGAGGTTTAGGGTTGAAGGTTTAGGGTTCAGCGTCTAGGGTTCTGAGTAACGGCCCAGCACGACTCTGTTTGGCTTCTGTGGCGCCATATGGGGCTTTACGACATAAGGGCCCTCAATAAGGGTACCCCCCCCCCCCCCCCCGAATTTCGGAATGAACTTGTGGGGGCGTTCCGGCGTTCCTGTGGCCTCTACTTGAACCTTCCGGGACCCTTCCGGATCCTTGCGGGTTCAAGACACGTGGGCATCTCTTTCTTGCGTTACACGGGAGTCTTCCATGATAATATGGGGCTGCTCTAAGTGCGCCAGGACGCAAAGGCCGCGTCCCAAGCTTTGGGGCCTTTTTGCACGGGCGCGCTGCTCGTGAGATGGAAAGCTGGTCAAGGCATGGAGCCCTAAATTTACTAAACCCTAACCCTAAACCCTAAACCCTAAACCCTAAACCCTAAACCCTAAACCCTAAACCCTAGTGCCGGACTTGCCGCGACCATTAGAGCCAACGACAATGCGGAATCGACCGAAACATGAGGCGCACTTCCAGGGGGCAGGCAAAACTGGAGAACGCTGGGAGGAGCAGAGGCACGTTTCGGACCAACTACTATAAGCCCGATTAAGGTAGTGTGTTGGGGTTCATAGCTGGTCACCAATTACGAACCCTAAAATTTGGGTGGGGTTCATATACCCTCTACTACTATAAGCCCTTATTAAGGTAGTGTGAAGCCATGAAAACCCTTTTGGGGTTCATGACTGGCCCCCAAGGTGCCTATTGGGCATACAGCAATTACAACCCCTACCACGTTCTTGCGGGGCATTCCGATTTAATGCTCTGAAACTCCTCCCGCCCTCTTCAGCCGTTTAAAACGCTGCACAAACAGTTCAACGCCGCTTCAGCGAAACAGATAGCACCACTGCCCACGAAGTCTAAAAGGAGCCACATCTCAGGAAGATGCGGGCTTGTGAACTTAGGGGACCTCCGATAAAGATCCCATGAAATAGTGGGGAAACCCCTGATAATACGGACCCCAATAAGGTACCCCAAATTTCGGAAACCCCCATATGTCTTCACTTGACCCTAAACCAACCCTAAACCCAAACCCTAAACCCTAAACCCTAGACCCTAAACCCTAAGCCCTAAGCCCTAAACCCTAAACCCTAAACCCTAAACCCTACCTTCCCCCAGTTCTTCAGACTTCCGAGTCCAAGATGTCCAGCTCCTCTGTGCACACGTCGTGGTGGTTTGTCGTGACGACCTGAGGTGGGGGGGTTTCCGAAATTCGGGGGTTTAGGGTTTAGGGTTTAGGGTTTAGGGCTTAGGGTTTAGGGTTTAGGGGTACCTTCTTGGCGTCCTCTTTATAAAGGGACTCTATACTATTTGGGGGTCTATTTAGGGTTCCCACATTTTCGTAAACCCCCGGGATGCCGAATGCCGCGGCGTTTAAGCATCAGCGCCCCCAAGGGTTGAGGGTGCAGGGTTTAGGGTTCAGGTCGCGGGTTTAGAGTTTTTGGGTTTAGGTTGAGGCTTTAGGGGGGCTGAATCCATGAAACTCCTTCTAACCGGTCGACAACGAGGGCGCGGCCGCGAGAATCCTTGGGGGCTTTCACGGTAGTTGATCAACCTACCTGCGCCCAAATGAACCCCCATGTTTTGGGATATGTCCCCCTTGTACTAACAGCCCTTAGTGAGGATCAGGGGGTACTATAATCCGATTCAGGACTGCTAGTAAAGGGCGGAACGTCCCAACCTACATACCGCACGACCTGTTGCAACTTGCACGCAGGCGGACGACACTTTCACAATGACAAATAACACCTGAGTTTCAACGGCCTTCATATTTGTGCGCGGGCATGTGCTCACAGTGTGTTCGAGCACCTTAAGGACCAAACGAACCCTACGAATGGGAAGGAATTAGTCTATACTACTATAAGCCTTATTAGGATATACGAACCCTTCTAGGGTTGAGGGTTTAGGGTTTAGGGTACACACGTGGTCCGTAAGGAGGTAGCTGTGAGGACAAGCTGCCCGGGAGTACATGACGACCTGCTCGATAGCCTCATCGACCACGGCCACGCGACACTCCTTCCTCAGATTTCCAGAGGATGGACAAATGTCGGGGACCAACTATGAAGTCTTAAGGGTTTGCATGGCTTCACATTACCTCAATTCAGGGTCATAGTAGTAGTATAGGGTATATGACCCCAATTTTAGGGTTCTTAATTGGCCCCCTCAACCCGAAACCCGAAACCCTAAAAACCCTAAACCCTAAAAGCTGCGCATCGTTCGCCAGAAGCAAAAATCCGGTGTCTCTTGCCAGCTGGGCATCCACTTGGCTTTGCCTGCCAGCAGGCCTGGCAAGGCTGGGTGTGCTTCTTTATAACTAGGATGGCCCTTCAAACCCTCTGAAAAATATTCCTAAATATGGTCCTCTTAAACCCAATAAGGGAAGATATAAAATATCCCAAGGGCCTACCTAGACAAGAGGGTCGAGGGTTTCGGGTTTAAGGTTGAAGTAGGGTTTAGGGTTGAGGGTTGAAGTAGGGTTAAGGGTTTAGGGTTTAGGGTTGAGGGTTGAAGTAGGGTTAAGGGTTTAGGGTTTAAGTAGGGGTCTAGGGTTGAGGGTTTAGGGTTAAGGGTTGAAGGGTCTAGGGTTTGGGGTTTAGGGTGTCGGGTTTAGGGGTGATATCGCAGCTGTTGGGTTGGCTGAGTTGCACCACAGTCAGATGCAAGCAGATGCAGCTTCACTTGACCGTCATCACCATCATCATGATCATCATCCCTAAACCCTAAACCCTGAACCCTAAACCCTAAACCACAAAGGCCTCGATATCTGCCCTTCAGATTCTCGATGTTGTCCTCCTGGAAGAAGCGGACGACTTCAGAGTCCTTCTGCACCAAGGGGACGAGTGTAGGGTTTAGGGTTTAGGGTTTAAGGCTTAGGGCTTAGGGTTTAGGGGAGTCCTTCTTCACCACGGGGTGGTCGTTCACGCGATGATCCCAGTTCGCCAGGCTCCGTTGCCTGCGGGGGACACGAAGGCTTGGCACTGTGCCCGCTTCTGCTTTAGGGTTTAGGCTTTAGGGTTTGGGGTTTGGGGTTTAGGGTTTAAGGTTTGGGGTTTAGGGACACACACAGAGAGACACTGCTGCCAGCATTGCTTTTGCAACAATTTGGGCCAGGATGCAATAACCAACATCCCAGGTTCACATGCTCATCTTCCTCGTGCTTCTCTGCAAGCCACTGTTCGAACTCCCGCCTTTGTGCAAAGCAGACGGATGTGTAGGGTTTAGGGTTTAGGGTTTAGGGTTTAGGGTTTAGGGTTTAGGGTTTAGGGTTTGGAGTTTAAGGTTTAGGGTCTAGGGTCTAGGGTCTCGGGTCTCGGGTTTAGGGGTTAGGGTTTAGGGTTTAGGGTTTACTCTTTCGGCTCTTCCTCCGCCATGTTGGCCCTAAGCTTGCAAAGCTTTCGCACAACTTCCCTCCGACTCTCTCAAGACCAGGCGCAACTGCTCAGCAATGAAGGGGTGCTTCGGAGTTGCAGCCAGGAAAGCCTGGTCTTGCCGAAATGTCGTTCTCGACTCAAAAACTGATACGACACTGGGTATTTGGCAGCATTCTGACATTCTGAGATAGACATTTTAAGAGGTTGCGATGGAGGCGGCGGCGCTTTAGCCCCCGCCTGGAAAATCTCGTTCTGAAAGACCGACCGGGACGTCGCGAAAGTCGTCTCCTCCTCCTTGGGCTCTAACTGAAACGTACAAGGGTTTATGTTTCATACACCTTAATAGGAATTGTAGTAGTCTAGGGTATAATTGGTCCCCCAAGGCTCCAGGACCTTCCGCACCGAGCGCACCGGCAGGATGTCAGTGTCGAAGTAGTAGCCGCCATGGTTGTAGAGCTGGACCTTGGCGACCAAATCAACCCTGAAAGGGTGTATGGCTCATACCTTATAAATAATATGAATTCTATTACCTTAATAGGAATTATAGTAGTAGATCGTCTCGTCCTCCTCCTTCTTGGGGACCAAATAAACCCTGAAAGGGTTTATGGCTCATACTACCTTATGAGGAATCATAGGTAGTATAGGGTATATGACCCCCAATTTTTAGGGTTCATTGTGCCTCAATAGGAGTTATAGTAGCATAGGGTATATGACCCCCAATGTGGGGGGGGGTTCAAAATTGGTCCCCCAAGGGACCAAGCGACACAGGTCGGACTTGAACCTGCCGTTCTTGAAGGCTTTGAAGCCCGCGGCGAGTCTCTTGCCGTCAAAGCCTTCCAAATTCCTTGGGGCGAGCCCTAAACCCCAAACCCTAAACCCTAAACCTATGAACCCCTAGGTTGATGACCTGAATATGATTGTTTCCGACATTGGGGGTACCTTAAGCTATGGGGGTCCTTTCTAGAAGGGAATCCTACCAACTGGGATCGAGTTTAGGGATATAAACCCCCATATGACCCCCCCCCCCCCATTTGCTACTATTTGCTTGGGAACCCCAAAAGAATAACACCTAATAATCCGAATATTACCCTTCTAAGGAAGAATATCTTCTTATGTTTTTTGGGGGGTTCTTAAGTAGTTTGCAGGCTCCTAATTGGTCCCCCAAGGTTCTTGAGCTCGGCGATGCAGACCTTGTCGTCGTAGAAATACACCTTGGCCACGTCCCCGCCGAAGCTGTCCACCGTGTGCTCGCAATTCTTTCCTGGGACTCTGTTTACCTACAGTTTTAGAGTTTAGGGTTTAAGGTTCAGGGTTAGGATAACCAAGAAAACTGTATGTAAAGAGGGGCCCAGGTTCTCAGAACCCGAAGCAGCTCGGTGTCATCGTCATCACCATGTAGCCGGGACTCGAACAAGTTGATCTTGTAGTTAAACAGAATATTTGCCGGGATCCGTGGGCCACGTCTCTGAGCCCTGTGTGGCCGTGTGCGGGACGTTAGCAGTGCCAAGCCATCCACGTCTGTTGCCTCAGGCAGCAAGACCGGGTCATCCCCCCATTAAGCTGCCCCATGGGACTCTACTGTCAACTCAGGTGTAATTAGGGCGGTCATCAGGGTTGCGGTTTCTGTACGATGTAGGGTTTGGGGCTTCGGACTCAGCCTCATGGGAGAGTACCCCGGAACAGGCCAGCAGAAGCACCAGACGTGGAAAGGAGCCTCCAGCCATCCCAACTAACACACATGAACCTTGGCGGACTCTGTGCATTCGTCATCGTAGGAGCTCAGGTGGTGCGTGCTTCTGATGTCATGTGCGGGTCTAGGGCTTCGGGTTCAGTGTTTATAAGGGTTCAGGGTTGCAGTTGTTGCCATATCTTCAACATCCGACTTCGCAGAAACGATTGGCTCGGGAGACTGCTGCGGGTTTGCAAGAACGCATGGGGGAAGCTTGCTTTTGAAGGCAATCTCGCTTCGTGCAAGGACACAACTGCCGCAGTTTTGCCTACTTTTGTCATGCTGCCTCTCTGCATGCGCATGGTTCTTGGCTCTCGCCCCTGGACTCTGGCAGCCATAGGGTCTTAGCTGCATTGCCCTTCCTATTCCTATGTCTATGGAAGTCCCTGGAAAGGACAGTAGACTGCGCAGAGAGTGGATAAAGCTGCGGGGCCGAAACTGAATGCGGCTACGACGGTGGCTTCGCCATCCGCAGGACAATTAAATAACGAACTTGAGGCATTTCCGGCCGGTGCCGGCTAAATCTGTTCAACTTTCCTTGCAAGTCTACCCAAAGGCCCCAATGTAGCTCCTTTTTGGTTCTAGGGGATTCTAGTATACTACCCCAAAAAAGGTAGTACATTGGAGCCTCTGGGTATACAGACGAAGATCCGTGGACGAAGCTCAAGGCTGGGGAGCGCTCCTATTGTAGAGAAGCCCCTTCTTCTTTCGAAAGCCTGAGAGCCAAGTCTTACGTAAGACCTTCAGCCCTATGAGCATGGGCTATTCTGTCCTATAACCCCCTCAAAAAGGCCCGGGTTTAGGGTTTAGGGTTTAGGGTTTAGGGTTTAGGGTTTAGGGCCCATGCTGGTAAGAGCAGGTTTCGATGGGCCTACGATGAGGGAAGCAAAGGCCAACCAGAGCCCCAATGTGTCCGCGGACGGCTCCTCGGACCTTCGGACTCCGAGGCGGGGCTTAGGACTCCACCAGAAAATGCTGGACGATCAGCTTCTTCTGCTCCGAGCACGTGTCGTCGTTGTGTGAGATCACCTGGCGCCCAGAGCTTGGCCCTGCAAACCCTTCAAACCCCAACCTTACAGACCTTACGAGCTCTAGACGCCCTGAGAACCCTGTAACTCTAAACCCTAAACCCTAAACCCTAAACCCCGTAGAACCCTGTAACCCTATATCCACCCTAAGCTTGGAACAGCTCAGGTCCTACCATCCCCGCCTCGTGGTCCTAGAGGTCTTAGGTTGCGATCATGTGAGCATGTTGTGAGAAGAGGTCCGCTTTTTAGGGTTCCTGTCATACCAATTACAAGAAGAACCCTAAACCCTAAACCCTAAACCCTAAACCCTAAACCCTAAACCCTAAACCCTAAAACCCCCCCCCCCCCCCACGCTTCTTGAGCTTGGCCGCTCGTGGGTACATGACGACCTCGTCCGTGTCTTGATCCACGACAGCGATGTTACAGTCGCCCCTGAGACTGGGTGAGTAAACCCTAAACCCTAAACCCTAAGCCCTAAACCCTAAACCCTAAACCCTAATGTTTGAAGGATTTTCTTCCGTGGGGACCAACTAGGAGACCCTAAAAACTGGGGGTCAGAATCCCCTCTACTGCTGTAACCCCTACAGTATGAAGGTCATATGAGGCCCAAAAAGCCCTTTTTAGCGTTCGTAATTGGCCCTCAAGGTTGAGGATGTGATTTGAAGTGAGGACTGCAGGGGGCAGGGGTTACCAGCTGCTCAGGAGCCAGAGATGTACTGAGGTGCCGCTCCCTCGTCTTTAGAAGGGAGGTCTAGTCATCGCATCCACCTGAATCTGGCCAGGCCGCCACTTCGAATGACCAGTCAGCAGGCCTGTCACAAAGTCACAGAGAGGCAGGCACAGCGAGACAGGGAGAGAAAGGGAGAGATACATCAAGCGCCAAAGGAGCCCCCCACTCAGGAAGTGAGAAGCAGACAGTTAAACGAGCAAATGCTATAAACAGATACCATAACAACCATATACATACATGTGTATATAGGAAAAGAAGGTACGAGTAGAGAAAGAAAAAGAGAGAGAGAGAGTGGGAGGGAGACAGATCGATCCGATCGACTGCAGCTGTTCTAGGAGGCGTTTAGCTTCAAATCCCTTCGGCCTTCAATCGGTTCTTTCCCGGATCTCCAGTACCTGAGGAACCAATCATGAACCCTAAAATTGGAGATCATATACCCTGGACTGCCAGATAGTATGAACCCCTAAACCCTAAACCCTAAACCCTAAACCCTAAACCCTAAACCCTAAACCCTAAACCCTAAACCCTAAACCTAAACCCTAAACCCTATACCCTAGTCCCCAAGGGCACGCGATCCGGTGCTCCTGGAACAGTTGGATTTTCTCGGAGCCGGTCACGAACTCGGGCGCTTTCTTGAACCTGCCCCCGGTCTTTCTCATGCTCTTCCACCTGAACGGGTTTAGGGTTTAGGGTTTAGGGTTCAGGGTTCAGGGTTTAGCGTTTCGGGTTTAGGGTTTAGGGTTTAGGGAACAGGATGCCATTGGTTGAGGTGGAGGTGCTTCGGGTTTACAGGGTTTGTAGGGTTCAACCATGTGTGATGCATGGGAAACTCAGACAAACCCTCACCCCTAGACCCTAAACCCTAAACCCTAAACCCTAAACCCTAGACCCTAAATGCTGATCCCTGAACCCTAAACGTTGATCGAGCGGCATGAGCTTCGGACCTATGTTGGCTGGCTCTTGCGAACGTGGCCTTTCCTTCAGCCACTTGCCGAAACTTTTCCTGGCGGGTTTAGGGTTCAGGGTTTAGGGTTTAGGGTTTGGGGTTTAGGGTTGCGGAAGACAAGATGCTAAGGCTTGCTGGCTCTTAGTAGGAAGACGTAGGGTCCCTATACATATGCGTGGGGTATACGGTGCCTAATTCCAGAGTTCCAGTGTGTTCTTTCATGTCCTGTCTTTTGTCCAATGTAACTTGAACAAACCAACCAGGTGCACCTAAGGGTGACCCTAAACCCTAAACCCAAAACCCTAAACCACAAAACCCCAAACCCTAAAACCCAAAACCCAAAACCCTAAACCCTAAACCCTAACCCTAAACCCCAAACCCCAAACCCTAAACCCTAAACCCTAAACGCTGTGCAGCAGGGGAGCAAGTTTTCACCGATCAGCTTGTTCTTTGGCGTCGCAGCCAAGAAGGCCTGAAAAATCTCCTCAGTTGCAAGGTTCATAAGCCCCCCAAACAAGGGTTTAGGAGGGAGGAGGGTCTAGGGTTTAGGGTTTAGGGTTTAGGGTTTAGGGTTTAGGGTACACTTTCAGTTCTCTAGGGGATTAGAGTATATCCCACAAGTGGAAGAAGTGTGCTCTCTCAGCTGCTAAGTCTCTTTGCTGTACATGCCACGGACAGAGGCAAAGGTTGTGTCGGGGTCCAGGTAGTCGCGCATGGACTTGACTGGCAGGATGTCCGTGTCGAAGTAATACCCCCCGTACCTTGAGGGCCAATTGCGAACCCCAAAGGTTGTTAATGGCTTCATGTTACCTTAATAGGGGTTATGCTGGCATATGACCCCCAATTTTGGTTCGCATTACCTTCATAAGGGTTATAGTATGACTATGATCCTCCTAAATAGGGGAAAATATGAAGTGTGCTAAAGGCCTTCCTAGTATATGACCCCCCGTTGTAGAAGGGTAAAGGGCCGCCTAAATAATTAGAATAAGTTTTTTGGGGTTTTCATAGTAGAACTACAAACTAGGGACCATAAGGAAATAATGTTAGTAACTCTTCCGACCCCCATAAACCCTAAACCCTAAACCCTAAACCCTAAATGATTCTGACCCCCATACTCAATTGGTCCCCACGGTACTTCCAGAGTTGGGCAAGGCGACAGAGGTCCGACTTGTACTTGCCATGTCTCAGGCTCTGGAAGCCCTCGGCGAGTTCCTCACCTTGTTGGGATTAGGGTTTAGGGTTTAGGGTTTAGGGTTTAGGGTTTAGGGTTTGGGGTTAAGGGTTTAGGGTTTAGGGTTTCGGGTTTAGGGTTTAGGGTTTTGGGCCATGGACATGCAGAAGTTGTCCCTTAAGACCAGGCAAGGCTCCACCGAACTGCTTCAGCTGCTTGAGCTCACTGATGCACTGGTCGTCATCCCAGAAATGCACATGAGACACGTTGCTTCCAAACAGCCCAACCTTGGGGACGAGATGAACCCTAAAAGGGTTTATGGTTCATATTACCTTAGTAGGAATTAGAGTAGTCAGGGTATATGACCCCCAAGTTTAGGGTTCAGTTCGTCCCCAAGGAACTGTATGCTTGACATTCAGCTGCATGACGCCGAGCAAGGGGTTCTCCTGCAGCTGCTGTTTCGTGGCCTTGAGCACGTTGAACTTGTAGTTGAAGAGAACGTTTGGAGGAATCTTAATCCCTTGCTTTCCAGCTTTCCGAGTCGTCTGAGACTTGCTCGCCTTTGGCAGAGGGCGCTGGGCCAGCAGCGCCAGGCTATCCAAGTCAGCGCCATCCTCAGGGGGCTTTCAGCTGGCAATTTGTTCTTGGGGAACGGCCCTCCTCATGCCCTGTATAACTTTCGGTTAGGCCAGTAACGCTACATGTGTACGCTCATATACGCAAATATAAACAACACATCCAACATATACATGTTGTTCACACACACACACGCACACGCACACGCACACGCACACGCACACGCACACGCACGCACACGCACACGCACACGCACACGCACACGCACACGCCCACGCCCACCCCGCCCGCCCCCCCCCACCCCCACCCACCCACCCACCCCACCCACCCCACCCGCCCCCACCCACACACACACACACACACACACACACACACACACACACACACACATATATATATATATATATATATAGATATTACTGAAGGTAAAAACATGGAGAGTGTGATGCCATTGCGGCGCATACCTCGAAGGATTCACTGTTTCGGGTTTGCGTTTTCAGACACAATATGCAATGCCTTTTGACAAGAGATATGCATAACACACTGCGACAACATGACGCGCTACGACACTCGGGTGAGGGTTCAAGAACAAGGATCCGAAGAAGTCAAAATGCAGGGGTCAAACATAAGCAAGACTGTAAGCTGCCGCATTTGTGAGTATTCGCGGGCTCCAGATACACCTATTCGAAGGCTCCAAATACCACGAAAGACAGCAGTTCTACTTGCTGTCAATCTGCACATACGGTGCTGTAACACATGGCGCAGCCACCTGCCCCCTTCGCAAGCGTGTCACTACCGCGCGTTCTACTTTGACGAGTCCTTTAAAACCCTAAACCCTAAACGCTAAACTCTAAACCCTAAACCCTGAACCCTGAACCCTAAGTCTTTTTTTGGAATCCAGTCTTGCTGTGTAAACGGAGGGGAAGTGTGGTTTGGCAGCTTTGGCTTTAAATCGGGCTGAGGCGAACCTGTACGTGCTGTGCGAAATGCGGCTTGAACTTTCCTTGGGGACGAGATGAACCCTAGAAGGGTTCGTGGTTCATATACCTTAATAGGAATTATACTAGTCAGGGTATATGACCCCCAATTTTAGGGTTCATTTCGTCCCCAAGGTTGTGCTGGCAAAAACTGGGGAAGGGATGCGCAGCACCAGCAACTTGCAACAGCGTCACTACAGTCCATTTAAGGCTTTGCTTGGCCCTAGACCCTAAACCCTAAACCCTAAACCCTAAACCCTAAACCCTAAACCCTAAACCCTAAACCTTGGGTTTGGCCTTGTTGTAGCTGGGGGTCGAAGGGGGGGGTGGACCGAGCGTGCTCGTCCTGGATGTTGATGGCCTTTTTACAGAGCCCCCACGGTGGGTCCATTGTTTTAGGGCGTTGCAACTGCCGATGAGCCGTTGAGGGCCCGTAACCTCCATTAAAAACCCAAAAACACCTTAAACTCCCTTAAAACCCCCCCGAAGCCCCTTAAAGCCCCTTCAAAAGCTTTTAAATCCCCTTGATAACCCCCTCAACAACCCCCATGAACAACTAAACCCTCAAACCCTCAAACCCTCAAACCCTCAAACC